TCAGAGTACCAACACATTTTTTATCTATGGAAGGAAGCGAGCGGCGGTGGTCCTTCAAACGTGACAGCACTCCAAGCCCGCGCAATTTGACTTTGCAAGTCCACCTAAATTATTTGGCCTCAATTTTCCGTGTGAATCTCGCATGACTGTTGTGTACGGCTCGTTCGCATCATGGGCCTCACACAAGGCTTTGTCAAATAATCTTTTTAAATATCATTTTTTCTATTTGTGGGCCCCAAGCTAATAACACTCTTTTTGTTTGTTTTCCTCCCCCTATGGCCTACAAAATATATATATATATATATATATATATATATATGGTGAACGACATTAAACTCTTTTTTCTATTTGAGTTTTGCACTAAACACTCTTTTATTTTTTTATTTATTTTTTTTTTAGCTAAAAAACTCCCTCAATTATCCGAGGGGGGTGATTTAACAGACCAAAGTTACTGAGTGAGATCTGAAATAAAAATTGACTAAAGTGCCCACTAAGCTTGTTTGGACATATACTTTGTCTTTAATTTTTTATTTTTTATTAAATGGTAAACAGCATGAAACCTCCATGATAAACTTCCAATGCGAATAAATTTTCCATAAAAGCTGTCCAAGTAAATACAAATATATTTAAGTACTAGAAAAAATTCATTAAAAGTGAGATATATGATCTGTAGCACAAGAACTCACACAAAATAGAAAATAGTATTTTGTTCAAAAATAACCAGCAAGATGGATAACTGGATAAAATGACTAAAACAAAGGATGGCTAAAACGATACATGCTACTTTTAACATCTAGCAAAGCAAAGGGCACAAACTTTGTTATTTTTAAATATTTTAGCATTAGTTTTTTTGAATAATACAACAATATTATTTAACTCCAGAAAGTTAACAACCAGCCGAAAATTGATTCCAAAGTACTTTTACATTAACACACTACATTAAACAAAATTTTAAATTTTTTTAAAAAATATCTTCTATTTGATTCCAAAGTACTTTTTGATATATACGGATGGAAAGAGTTTACCACTTCAAACAATAAAAAGTCTTTAGGACTTCAAATAATATTGATAAATTTCTTCATCCATTTTTTTTTTTTTTTTTGGGTCCGGATAATAATCTCCATCCATTTATTTCATTATTTCCCTATTGAAAAGTTAGATCAGTAACAATGGATATGGCATTAAAACAGATTGCTCATAGTCAGTTTTCGAGAAACTATTAATTAAAAGTAACTCCTTGAACAAAAAAAAAAGACCCCAATAAGATGTAAAAGTGCCATATTTTGACAATTTAAAAGTGCAAAATGTCCTAATTTTTAAGAACCCTAGTATAGGTACCATGTAAAAAAAGTACCATATTTTGACAATGTACACAAAAGAAACAAAGTGGCCTTAGACAAATACTTCAGGCCTGCTCGTGTGGAGGTTGGGAAGTGGGTTGATAATAAGATTTATGAAGTGAAATTCATTAAAGGGACTTGTTTTTCTTTAAGCTTACAACTTAATAATACATACAACGTTATTAAACTACAAAAATTCTAATTTTAAAATCATAAACAATTAGAGAGAATCTCAATAAGAAACAAACAAACTCTAATTTCAAACATACCAAATTTCTTTGAAAAGTAATTACTGTTTTATTGTTTTGCCTTCTTCTCAAAAGAAATCACCACAGAGACTACAAGACTACCACCACCTTAAAAACCTAATGGTGTTGTGTACCATGACTGAAAGTATTAAATTGTGAGGTTTGAAGGGTGAGTGAGGCAACCTCGATCATGAGGCATGGAACAAGAGTTTACATATTTTAGGTAATTTAATAAAAAATCAAAGACTCCAAACAGGCCTAATGGGCACTTTAGTCAATTTTTATTTCAAATCTCACTCAATTAACTCTCGTCCGTTAAATCACCCCACTCGGATAGTTGAGGGGGGTTTATTGGTAAAAAAATAGAAAGGGGTGTTTAGAGCAAAACCCAAATAGAAAAGGGGAATTTAATGCTGTTCACCTATATATATATACAAACAAATGTATAAAATATGTTTCAAAAAATTTTATGAAAAAAATAATAATAATAAAAGTGACTAACCCGAGTACCATACCATGGTGATTGGGTTAGTGTAATGGTCAAATGTTTTGCGATTCAATTCAAAAATTTAAACTATTAGATAAGACTTATACCCAACTCATATATACGTACTCACTTTCTCATCCGGATTTATTGTAAGACAAAGTCCTCCTTATAACTGGACCTGTCAGTGGATTGAGTTTTGATTCGAATCCGATCCGATTAGTCGGATATAAATAATAAATTGAACAAAAAATTCAACAACCAGATTACGATCAGAATCCAATAACCCCTTATCCTAACAAATCGAATATGGATTATACTCATCTGATCCGAATATATATATATATACACACACTCCTATCAGATTTGTATTAGAATTTTGAAGGTAATAATAAAAAAAATAAAAAAATAAAAAAATAAAAAATCATAATGTTATATGTATAATAATGTGGTGTTCTCCCCCACGTACTAATAAATCTGCTAATATACATATTAATACTGTCATAATATTTATTCATTAATAAAGAGTACATAATTTATTTTTCTTTTATTTTCCTTTTATATTTTATTTATTTTTTGTTTTCTATCATTTTTTTTCCTAATCATTGTTTTTTATTCTCTTTTTCATTAAATTTTTTATTTTTATTTTTTTAATAAAAAGATTACACTTGTATAAAATTGGTTTAGATTATTAGATGAAATATCCTTCATTAACGAATCGAATATGAATTCATATACAAAAAATTCATCCAATTATTGAATGGAATAAAAAGACTTATCGCATTTAAATCGCATTAAGTCAAATCCATTTTCAGAATTCCCGCAGAACCCTCCGAGAGTCTATTTGTAACAGCTAACCCCTTTATTATGTCAACTCAATGAGAGTCAAAATTTTGAATAGCTATGTCAAAGTCCGGTGGGATTAGTATCATCCACGTCACAGACCATCACAAGGTTGTCAAGTCTCCTCCCAAAGTTCCCTCCATTCAAAAAAAAAAAAAAAAAAAAAAAAAAAACAATAAATGAAAACTGCTTGATATTATAATTGATACATGGCGTTTTAACTTGCATATAATAAATAAACTAAGTAACATTAGGTGGAGTGACGTAAGTTGTAGTCATATACGGATACTAATTTTTGAACATTTTCAGCTTTCTTAAAATATTCTTTTGAGTAGAATATACGTTATCCCATAAGATGTATTAATATTTTTTATTTTCAGTCGACTGTTAAGATATATTATCACATTATGTAAAAGAATTGTGTAAAATATATTGTCACATCACCAATATATAAAATGATTGTGTAAAAATATTTTTATACTGACAGATCAATATATTTTCTTTCTCATCCCATTAAATAATCAACCATAAGTTTGTAACAAGTATGTGAGATCCTGACATGACACATGATTGGTTGTTATTGAAAAATATATTTTTATACAAAATGTATAAAATAACCGTTGGGGTTAAAATTAAATAATCCAAAATTTTTATGTAAATTCATCATGACATATCAAATTTACATAAAAAAAAAAAAAAAAAAAAAAAACATAAACACAACGGTTGGAGATGCTCTTACTCATCAACAACAACAACAAAAATAAAATAAAAAATTAATTATTTTTTATCATATTCTTCTTTAACTTGAATTAGAAATAAATTAGGTAACTTAGAATCACAACAGAAGCATCACTCACACAAAAAGAAAACTTTTTTGTCAAATTTTTTTTTTTTTTGTTCATATTTATATGAGTTAGATAAACATTCACACATATTTTACTGTACAAATTATTCATTACGGACTAAAATTCTTACATTTCAATTGAGAAATGACCTATGGGTATAGGGATGTCAATTTTTACCGCCCCGCCGGAGCTCCGTCCCGTCCCGCCCTGTTAATAAAGGATATGGAAACACTTTTTATACCGTTGGGGCGGGCATGGATACAAATTTTGTACCCGTCGCGGGTCACGGGGCGGATAAGGGTTCAGTATACATATCCTAAGAGCCCCGCCCCGCCCCGCCCCGTTAAGCATATAACTATATTTTATATATATATATATATATATATATATAAACTTGGTATTAAATTTGCTTTTGTTTTGGTTATGGTGGAAGTTGGAGTTTAGAACTTCTTGTGATTTGGTTATATTAAACTTTTATTTTTGTTTATTATGTTCTCTGAATTATGTTATGTGCATGTTATTTTTTTTATTTTTGTTGGGATACATAATTTCATTTATGTTGTGCCATTCCCAGGCTTTCCACATTCAAATAGCATTAGCTTAAGTTCCAAAAAGTGGGAGAAAAAAATTTGTTAGCGGGGCGGGCACGGGGGCACAGTATTTCCCAACGGGGCGGGGCTGAACAGGAAAATTCAACCCGTCGAGGGTCTCGGGGCGGGCATGGACTTGATAAAAAATAAAAGGGGTGGGGCGGGATTTAGGGAAACCCGCTCTAAACCCGCCCCGTTGCCATCCCTATATGGGTACCTTTTTATTATACTTTTCTTGATTAATAAAATATAAATATTAAATACTAAAAAAATAGCAATATCAATAGAAAATTTATATAACATTTATGGTAATTTATATAACATTATACATATCTAAATAGACATGAATTTGTTTAAGTAGGTGAGTCGGTCTTACTCTTTTTTTTTTTTTTTTTTAAATTGTTTAAGTAAATGAATTTTTAGACATTCTCAGTCTCAAATCCTAGGATTATTTTCTATAAATTAAAAAAAGAAAAAGTAAAAAGTGAACAAACAATTTTTTATTTTTTATTACTATTTATTTTTCGTTCATAATTGACAGGTTCACCATTATTGATAATTCAACGGGTGATCGGTGAACACGTGTCGTGATGAAAACCCATAATGTGTTGTGTTCACTCTGCCGTATATTATACTGGTGAATGCATATATATCAGTCTGTGGAGACTGGAGAGAGAAGAGAGATCTAGAGAGAGAGAGAGTGAAGAGATGGAAGCAGAGAGCAGCAGACATCCATGTCCGGCGACCGATTTCAACGCATTGCCGGAGAATTGCATAGCGAACATGTTGTCTCTGGCGAGTGCTCCAGAGACTTGCCGGCTTTCGTTGCTGGCGTCCACTTTCCGGTCGGCTGGGGAATCTGACACAGTTTGGGAGAGATTTCTGCCGTCAGATTATGAGGACATCATTGCCCGAGCTTCCGATTCTTCTCCGCCGGTTTTCACATCTAAGAAAGAGCTTTATCTCAGCCTCTCCGATCATCCCCTCATCGTCGATGGTGGGACTAAGGTAAAATTTCAAGTTTCACACTGTATTGTTTGATTGTGGGTAGAAATGAATGCTGTGTAATTTAGGGAAACATGTTCAAGATTTTAATTTACTTTTGCACTCACATTTAAAATGAAGTGACATTTCTAATCCTAACCTTAAAAGTGATTGATTATATTTCTTTTTTCAAATTACACCACTGCATTCCAATATGATTGGTGTCTCACATCTTTACTGTTTTTGGTCTCTTTTATTTTGTCCAAAAAAAAATTTATTTATCTCCGTCGAATATTCCCTCTTGACAGAGACTAAAAAAATTATATATGTTAAAAACATAGTGAATAAATTCTCTCTTTTGACAGGATCTAAATATATAGATATAAATATAAATATATATTGAATAAAATATATCTTTCGACACAATCCAAAAAAAAGTATAGTAAGGAATATATATATATATATATATATATATATATATATATATATGATTGTGATTAGTCATGAATGATGTGTAATTTTCTGTTTTTGTGGAAAATATGGTCAAGTTTTTAATTGGTTTAGGGGCTTAATATATTCAATATTTTAATGGGATTAGACTTTAGGGTTTAATATATATATATATATATATATATATATATAATTTTAATGGGATTAGAGATGAATGATTGTGATCAGGACGAGTTCTCCTTCAAAATTTTAAAACATAAAATGCAATTATGGTTCAGACAAAGATTTGAGGATTTGCTGGAAAGTTTTTTTTTTTTTTTTTTTTTTGGGGGGGAGAAAATAAGTTTGAATTGATAACTAGTTGGTGTTGTGAATTATGAATATATGTAGGGGAATCAATTTATGGTAATTCCTTTATCATCAATTGTGCATACAAATTATAATAATCATATACTGTTCATAGAAGGCAGCAGAGGAAAATTTTACACTCTTAACTTTTGACAGTTTGGGAGAGATTTCTCGAACATGTCAGCCCAAGCGTATTCCATCATACCAAACAGTGGAATCTCTTCATAATCATAAAGTGTGGACAGAAGTTGACTAAAGAAAGTGCATAGAAATTATATGTTCATAGTCATAAATTAAAAGTTGTAACTGGGTGACATGGGTATCGTCATAGGCAAATTAGAAAAAGCCCTAACTCTTGCAGGCTAAGAACCTGCATTCTCACACTTGTCAGTCGAGCTTTTACTATCATACCAAGCAATAGAATGCTACATAATATTAAACTTATATTGTACTGTGCAAGATCCACATACTGTGAATAGAAATTTACTTGGAAGGCTAAACATGAGCATCTTCAAATGGGGAGACATGACATCAGATCACTGTAGACACCGGAAGTCTTAATTGTCAACTATAAGTTCGCAAGAATCCGAACACTCCCCAAATTATTTGCAAGTGTGATGAATTTTGGTTCAAAATGACCAACAGGCCAGTGGCCTAGCGGTATCAAGCCCCTATTTCTCAAAGAGAGGTCAGAGGTTCGAGTCTCAGTGGAGGCATGTGTGTGTGAGTACCAACTAGGAAAAAAGAAAAAAAAAAAAAAATTGGTTCAAAATGGAACCAACAAGTATTTCGAATAATATTGTTGCGAATGAAGGTGGATACTGAACATTGGCGTATTCTGTCTCAGGGCCTTGCTTACCAGCATTTGAGGGAAAAATAAACTACTTATCTGCTTCTGTTCCTTTTGCTTCTCTCTACTTGCTTGTTTAATACTAATACCAAATATCTATTTTCTCCGTTAGTAGCTGCAATCTCCCAATATGTTGTATCACTAGTTAATTATGGATAATCATTTATAGTCTTCAAATAGAGAACCCTTGAATCACGTGTGCTTATATGCCTAACACAACAAATTTCGGGTTGGTTATGAATCCGGTTGTGTTGCAAAACAGCCTGTCAAAAGCCATCTTTGCTGGTGATTGCAGACTCGTGTTATTCATTAGTACTGCAAAATAACATGTAATTCTTGTTAGCTTTGTTTTGTACCTTTTGAGTTGAATCATATGATTCACAGGGTGGAGTTGTCAGTTCTGTTTTGAAGCTTTGGTTCTTTCTAGTCTTTTTCTCTATCTGAATGTCCATTTGGGTGGCTGTAATCTACTTTATACACAGTGTTTGCTTCAGTTTTCATTTTAATCTCTCTCTAACGTCTCATTAGTGGCATTAAGCAGAGTTTTTCATTGGATAAATGGAGTGGGAAGAAATGTTTCATGTTAGCTGCAAGATCCCTCACAATTGTTTATGGTGATACGCCTATGTATTGGAGATGGATTTCTCTACCCGAGTCCAGGTCTATCTCTCATTGTGCTGCTCTTTTCTTCGTTTGTTTTCTCCATGTATGGTGTTAATTAATTCAATGAAACCAAATTTACAAAATCAGATTCGCTGAGGTGGCAGAGCTTGTCGATGTGTGTTGGCTTGAAATTCGTGGGAGGATAAGTACTCGGATGATATCGCCTGACACAAACTATGCAGCTTACATTGTGTTCAAGTGGATGAAAAGAGTATATGGATTTGAATTCCAACCAGTAGAGGGTTGGGTAGGACTTCGTGGGAGTGAAGAGGAATTAAGGAGTTTTTATCTGGATCCTAATGGAGGGCAGGGGCGTCGAACTCATATTTTACCAAGACGAAGAGGGCGAATGGGGATTTTCAACCGCACCCTTGCTAAGATGCAGAGACCACAAGTCGCCATGCCTAGTGAAAGCAGCGATCAATCTCCGAAGGAGAGAGGAGACGGGTGGTTGGAGATGGAGTTGGGTGACTATCTTTACAAGAGTGGAGAAGATGGGGAACTAGAAATATGTTTGCAAGAAGTGAAGGGTGGCAACTGGAAAAGTGGCCTCATTCTTCAAGGAATTGAAATCAGGCCAAAGAATAGTAAATAAATGAAAAGGTAATGTGCAAAACAACCCCTTGTTATGTGTAGAATGCATACCCCCATTCCCACACCCCTTACTTACATTTCCCAAAAAAAAAAAAAAAAAACACTGATTTCAGTTTTTAGGGGTATTTTGGGGGGATTTATAAATAAAAAAAGTTAGTCAAATTTGACACTTGACAGATATTAGGTGCAATTTGGGCATATTTTCAAATGCTAGAGATTTACATGCACATACTAAAGCAGGGTTGTATTTTTGCACATTATTTATGGTATGATTTTATTTTTTTCACTGTACACTAAATGAAATCAAGAATGTATATATTTGTATCCACTTTCCATAAAATGTATATATTTGTAGCAACTTTCCATTTTTTTGGAATTGAATTGGCTGTTGGAACTTGGTGCATGTCCATGCTATGTGTGATATATTATGATGTTTGAATAGCAGAAAATTTGAGCTATGTCCGTCAGCATATTTTTGTTTTCATATGATATTTTTAAGTAAACAAGTTATATTAAGTTAAATAAGTTGTCAGTCGAGAACACGAAAAAGTATTATGCACATCAAAATACTGGTAAAATAATGCTCCCATACAATAGGAAGTGATTATTTCTTGTAAACAAGAAAAATGATGAATATTTATTTCCTGTCGCCAAAAGGACACGCAGTTAAAACTTACATATTTTTGTGACAATGACACCCCCTTGAAGAAATTTCGTCTAAACAAGGTCTTACATCATATGAAAGGACAAAATTAGTAACCTATGAATGCCCTAATCTTATAACCATCGAACCACGGTATGAAACGTCAACCCCAAACGCGACTAATCGGACCCACAATGTATGGAGGCTTTGGGAAGCTCGGCCAAGGCGGTGGAGGGGGATGGGTGGAGGCCGGGCGGGGGTGCGGCAGCCCGCAAGCACAACATCCACTCCACATTCAACGCACCACTCCCGGAATTTGTCTCTTGGTCGGTAGCAGTGCTGGCCCTCGCAATCGCAGCGGCGACCCCGGTGCCACCACCTCAGCCCCTCTGGCGGAGGAGGAGACGTTCAGTCTTGTCACCGGCAACCCTCTGAACTTCGCCATGATTATACGGCTCGCGCCAAACCTCGTCGAGGAGATCAAGCGCGTTGAGGCACAGGGTGGTACAACACGGATCAAATTCGACTCCAATGGGAGTAATTTGTCTAGGAACACAAGTTTCATGAACCTTGCATAATTGGGTACACCGTAAATAATTCGAATATGGTCCTTTACTAGCATATAATTCAAAATGGTCCTTTACTTGGTTTTGTTTATCCTCGATATTGAAATTGAGGTCTTAATTTGATGCATAGTTTGGTTTTGTACTTGGTTTTGTTACTGGATTGATTGTTTCGGCCTTAACACAATGGTGATTTGCATTTTTATTGCAAACTATGGTTCATATGTTGAGAATTTTCGTGGATGTATATTTATATATATAGTCTATATTTCTAGCATTTTGGCTGTACATATAAATTGTTCATAAGGAGAAGTGTTGTCTAATTTATTAACTTGTAATTATCAAAGGGCAATTTTGTTAATTTTTCATGCCAGTTGACCTTAGGGGTGTCTTTGTTCACTTTTCAATCTTTAAGGGGTGTCATTGTCTCAAAAATAGGTAAATTTTATCCGTATGTCTTTTTGACAAATCTAGGAGTGTTGTACTTTACCTAAAAAAACAAATTTTGCCACCACCTACCAGTATACCACCGCCACCACCCCTTGACCGCCATTGTGATGTCCTTGATTTGTATTTTTTTTAAAATTTTTTTTTTTTAGCCGTTACTGTTTCTGTTTGTTTAATTTAGTGGGGTATTATTTTGTTTAAAAGAAAGAATGTATAATGTTATGTGGCACTTGTAGGAGTTTAGTGGTGGCAGCAGTAACACTTGTCCTTATGCATGGGATGAAGTTGCCAGGTGGTATTCCCACTTACATTAAAGCTTTTGGAAGAAGCTTAGTTGACTCAAAAGTCTTCGAGGCTTAGTGGAAAGTGTATATATTTTTATATAATAGTGTACAAAACCACAAACACACACACATCACTTGGTCTCGGCTAGAGAGAGAGAGAGAGAGCGAGAGAGACTAGAGGGAGGAGGAAGGAGGAACCAGTGCCATAAGGAGGTAAGTTTTCAAATCTTAAATTTTTTTTTTAATTTTCAAATCTGGTATTCAAAAGAAAAGGAAAGTTTGAAACTTTTGCTTCCTGATATTCTCTCAAAATATTGTTTTAGTTGTGAAATCTGCTGGCCAATAATCTTAAATTTTTGTAAATTTAGTCTTGTTGTGGAATCTGAATAGAACACTAGGTTGACTTTCGGAATGCTATTTTCATAATTTTACTTTTACTATTTTCTTTGAAGTTTTAAATACCCTATAAATTGAACTTGTGGAATTTTATTTGATTTGATTTACTTACCTATTGAATTAATTATGGAATCATTTTAGTATGTAAGGTAGTCCATGGGATTACTTTTCACCCAAAAATCCCTATATTTTGTGTGACTAAAATTAATTCCTTTATGTAGTTTCTTTCTGGAATATTGATTGTGAATTTCATATTACAATCAATTGGGTTACATTTAGTTTTCGTGTATATCAGTTTGTTCAATAGAAGACTTTATATGAACTTTTGAGTAAATAATATGTTTATTTTGCTGAAAGTTTTTGGAGATAGCAGTAGCCTTGTTAAAATGGGTATTTTATGCTCATGAAGGCTATCCACAGATTATGCTCTTTGCTGGTAGTATTTCTTTGAAGTTATCTTTTACAAATTCGTATTGCATGTAGATTTCTTATTTATATTATTATATTTGTAATATTTGATTTATGAATTAGTAGTATTGATTTATTAGTAAATTTATATTAGTAAATTGTGATTATGTAGGAGAATGAAAATGTTTTTGGGTAAGGCTGCCTACGGTGGTAATTGATTATGTTTTTCCAACTGTGTATGTGACTCAGAATCAAATAGGTAGGGTAAGAGTTTCCCTTAGGTTGAAAAAACTTAAACGGCCCGGGCCCTAACGAGGGGGTGTTCACGGTCCCGGGGTGAGAGCCCCTTAATCCAAAGGACGGGGGCGGTGGTCCAGAGGGGTAGGTCCTTAAAGACGCGTGGGGGTACACAGTATTGGATCGATTTTGATTACTATTGTTTTGCGGGATTGTTTATCTTTGATAAGCAAATCAATTTCTTGATTTTCCTGATACATGAGTTTTGATATGAGATAAATTTTGAAATTTTTGTATTCGTCGATAGCCTACTTAAGTGTTCAGTTAAAATTTCCACATGGCTATAGTTCTTCGTTATCTCAACTATTAAAGGAGGTTCTCTTGAATCTGGATTGAAAACAAATAATTCTATTTATTTTTCATAAAAATCGGAAACCTACTGGGCTCTTTTGAGCTCATTCTTTTTTTCTAAAATTTCTTTTCAGGTCCTCGTGGTGGTGAAAAGGGCGCGGTCCAGGAATAAGGATGGCATTAGGTGGGTTTCTTTCACGGAGGCGTGGTAGTCCGCGGGAGACTGCTATGTATACATTTTTTTTGTGCCAGCGGCTGTCTTTTGGTTCGGGTGATAGATTATGCATATAATGAACAGCCTAGTGGGGACTTGTGTGTATCTCCTTTTGTGATTGTAATATAACTTTTGGTTGTATATAAGGACTATGGACTTAATGATCACGGGTATGTTAGTTGTTGTTTAAGGGTTAGTCTATGAATGAACTTTTTGGCTATGAGTTTGGATTTGGCTAGTTTTGTTCTTATCAAGCAGGTTGAGATTTTATTTTAGTATTGGTGTTTGATTCACGCTGCAGCGGGACAACCATCGTCACCACCTCTTCCTTATTCCATTTCTTCTATTTTAGATACACACATATGTATATCCATACACACATATACATACATACATATGTATCTCCATACACACCCATATATATCCCAATTGTTACGGCGGCGACATCATCCACAATGCCACCACATCGGGGTTTTCCTGCTATAGCATCTTCCACATTGCCTCCACATTGCCACCACATCGGGGTTTTCCTGCTATAGCATCTTCCACATTGCCTCCACATTGCCGCGGCCGAAACCCAGTCCCTCGACGCCTGCAACTTGCCCGAGAATAGCATTATTTGTTATTTTTCAATTAACGTCGTTTTTCGGTTATCTTTGATTATAACTAGATTAGCTAGGAACTAGCTAGACAAGTTTATTAGTATTTGGTTTATTTTATTAAATTTGAAAGGCTTTTATATACGGAGTATTATTTTAGCAAGTGATTAAGATCATCGAGTCTAATTTTGTGTGTTCAAAGTCAAGCTCGACTCCTCTCTATCTTGTTGTTTAGTTTATTCTGAGTTTAGTCTCGAGTACATTGTCAAGCTCGAGCTTGAGGCCCAATGAATAAAATTTAATTACAAATTATAATGAAAGAGTAACATTTACAAGAATGTTTTTTTCGAAGGCAAAACACATAGTATTTAAAAGAATGTTCATGAACACTTATCATTAGCACATTCACAAAATGAGTTCAAATGCGAACCCTTTTATTAATTAATAAAGTTTGAGCCAAACGTTAATCTCATTGAGCTCGAGTTGTTCACGAATGGAATCAATTATATTTTTTACTTATGGTTGGACTTTGTAGTACTATAGACTTTTTATCTTTGGAAGGAAGCTGGTGGTACAATTGCATGAATAGTAATTATAATGTTATATCTACAATAGTGTGGATCTCACAAAAAAAAAATTTTTTAAAAAATTAAAGGCTTACCTTTTGACAGCGACAATACAACTACAGGTGTGTGAAATTAAGTTAATTTATTTGTTATTTTTCATTTAACGTTTTGGATTGTTTTGATTATAACAAGATTAGCTAGGAACTAATTAGAGAGGTCAATTAGTATTTAGGTTATTTTATCAAATTTGGAAGACTTTTATTAAATAAAAAATAAAAAACACTAATGGATACATATATATATGATTTTAAAAAGTGATCAAAATCGTCGAGTCTAATTTTGTGTGTTTAAGCTTATTATTAGCACATTCACAAAAATGAATTCAAATTTAAACTCCTAACAGTAATCTCGCTCTGCGCAAGTTGTTCTTAAACAAATGGTTACATATTTTCTACTTGAGGCAACCACATTAGAGTACCAAAACTTTTTTTTATCTTCGGAAGGAAGCCAGTGGTGGTGGTCCTTCAAACGTGACACATAGGGCTCCAAGCCCACGCATTTTGACTTACGCATAGCAAGGTTGTTTTCAGGCTGGTTTTCATACTAAAAGTGGTATGTTTTATTTTTTTCGAAATGTCTAAAAGTGGTATGTTTGGCCTCAATTTTCCGTGTGAATCTCGCATGACAGGAGTGTAGGGCTCGTTTACATGGCCTCACACAAATCCTCGCCAAAGAAGGCTTTGCCAAATAATATTTTTAAATATCATTTTTTTTGTTTGTGGCCCCATGCTAATAGTACTCTTTTGTTTGTGGCCCATGCTATATATATATATATATATATATATATTGCATATAGATATATAAACAAACAAATGTAGAAAATATGTTTCAAAAAATTTATGAAAAAAAAAAATAAAAATAAAAGTGACTAACCGAGTACCATACCACCAGGGATAGAGTTAGGATTTGAAAGTAGAGGGGGCTAAAGAAAAAATTCAAGCAGAGGATTTACTGAAGAAGAAAAAAAAAAAAAAAAAAAAAAAATCAAGCAGATAAGATGATTTATTATGAAAAAAATTTATTAGTTCTTATGAGAAATCCAAGTATGAAGAAACACAGATCCAACAATATGATTCAACACAAAACAATCAAAATTTAACTTAAAGTAAAGAAACCGATATTCAAAATTTTCAGACAATAATAAAAAAAAAAAAATCCAATTACCAAATATCATTATAAATAGAATGTTGAAGTTATTTTTTTTATTTTTTATATCTAAGATTAAAAAAGTGAAAAAAACATTGTTGAAGAAAAAAGAAAAGGATTAAAAACTAAAAAGGGATTTTTTTTTGGTAAATAAAAACATAAAAAGGGTTTTTATTTTGCTTGAAATTACGCTGAATAGTTTGGTCTTCTTCATGGGTCAACTTTGGTTTGTTGGGCTAATGGGACATAGTAGTAGTAAATTATTTTTTTTTTGATGAAAGGCTCCACCCCTGCATACCACCATCGTGACTGGGCTAGTGTAATGGTCAAATGTTTTGTAATCCGATCCAAAAGTTTAAGCTATTAGATGAGACTAATAGCCAACCTATATATACACATTCACTTCTCCATCCAGATTCATTGTAAGACAAAGTCTTCCTTATAACTAGACATATTAATGGATCAGATTCAGATCGTTCTGATCCGAATCCGATCCGATTAGTCGGATATAGATTGAACAAAAAATCCAACAATCTGATTACGATCCGAATCCGATAACCCATTAGCCTAATAAATAGGATATGTAATGTACACGAACCTCCCCTATGATTTGCCATAATTATATAGACTTTTCTTGTGGTTTGGGAATTTGTTCGAATCTCCCTTCTATTATAGTCAACGTCAGTCAAGGACATAATGTGTTGACGTCATGTACAAAATTTATTAAAATTCTCATTGTACCCTTGTCCCTACCATTATATATATATATATATACACACACACACACTGTGATTCATCTCCCTAAACAGCCGCAGAAGCTTCATTTATGAAAAACAGGTGAGACCCAGATGTTGCGCCAAGATTTTTCTCTTACCCACTCTATAGGGGTTATACTAAACTTGAGGGAAGAAAAGGGGCTCGATGCGACGAGTGGCTATTGCCATATATATATATATATACACTGTGATTCATCTACCTAAACAGCCGGAGAAGCTTCATTTGTGAAAAACATGTGAGACCCGCACCCATATTTTTCTCTTACCCTCTCTGTAGGGGTTATACTAAACTTGAGGGAAGAAAAAGGGCTCGATGCGACGAGTGGCTATTGCCAAATATTATTTATTTTTGGAGTCGCCACCTAACATATGGTTTTGGTGTGTTAGGTCACCCTAGGATGTCTAAGGACTTTAGAAAATATTTAAATATTATTATTTGATCACCGTTTTAGTCTATGAAACCAGAGCAAAGAGTTCGGGGGTTTGATTGTGCATGGGAAAGGTGTTAGGCACCCCAGGACACCCTTGGAATACGGTTACCTTATTTTTATATCGCATTCCTAAAAAAAAAACATGTGTATAATTTGATAATAAAGATAATTTATTTAAATAAGATTAACCTTACTTATATGAAAATAAAATCATTGTTTATGAGTTTTATAAGAAAATATAAATAAATATAAATCTTAGATGATGACATGGCCGAACCTAGGAGTGACCTAGGTTCAATTTGTATATCTTAGGAGGATTATATTAAAAAATAAATATTTCTAAAGAAACTTGTACTTTAGGAAAAATATACATATTCCAACCCGATTTGTATTTTTAAAAGATGTTTCTAAGGAATCTTTATAATTGGAGAAAGTATGTCATAAGGAAACTTGTATCTTTAAAATGTTTCTAAGGAAACTTTATTATTTAAGAAAGTATATATATTTGTAAATAAATTTGTATCTTAAATATGTTTCCAAGGAAATCTTGTAATATATATATATATATATATATATATATATATATATATATATATATATATATATAAGGAAACTTATAGTTTAATAAAGTATATTTATAAGGAAAGTAAATATATATTAAATTTGTATTTTTAAAATATATTATAATTTAAGAAGATATATATATTTCTTAGAGAATTTGAAATTTAAGATCACTAGCTCAGGAAAGCTTAATTTTAAGAGAAAAATAATTCATAAGTAAATTTTCTCTCAAGAAGAATAGCTTTTTAGAAAAGTTTTATTTTAAAATTATGCCTGTTACCAATATTTGATTTTTAAAAGAACATTTCTATAAAAAGGTTGATTTTTTTTAAAAAAATATGATTTAACATTAAGAAAACAATGGTTTTAACCATTCTTGATTCATACTCTCTAAAAATAACTTTTGGCAATAGCTAAGTCTATTGTTATTGGGACCACTTAATTCTCAAAATAATACAAGTTTTCAATACAAGCATGGAACACAAATTCAGTGATGGATCACCGGCCAACATATAAAGAGTCATGGCAAAGAATTATATAAAGAAAACAATTGGCTAAAGACGATTATATAAGCATTTAATTTTCCAAATTAGCCAAGTGAAATTAATTAGAAGATGGAGCGTAAGAGTCCTAAAAAATATTGAATTCTAGTAAGAATACTATCTTGATATTTTGAACAAATTTTTATTAAAAAGGAACATGAATTTTGGAAATACAAGAATAACTAAACTTTAAGCATAATTTTAAAGCTCATCATTATTTATTTTATTTTTGCATTGGAAGTACCTTCGTATTAAAAGGTTTTAGAATACTTTTATTTGGAGATTAAAAAAAAAAAAACTGGCGAAGGGTCTAAAATATGTCCTTATATATACTGAACAGGAGAAAAACCTGTTTTTTAGAAACATGCCTAGCTTGGACTTATTTTTTGAGAAAACTTGCTCAGAAACTATTTACAGTAATCTTTAAGAAAATCATGATGAAATATAAAATAGAATTTAAAATTGTACAATAATTTGCACTTAACGAAGCTTTTTTTCTTTTGTAAGAAAACTAAATTTGCAAGATTTACAACTTGCAGTGATGAATGGATTTGAGAAGACTCAATTTAGAAGGTATAGTGAGGATGAGACGAAATAGGAGTCTAAGACAATAAAATTACCTTGGACTTCAAAGACAGAAATATTAAATCATTTTTAGAGAGTAAAAATAATAATAATGATATTAATATAATTCAGGAAACATGATCTCTAAGAACACAATGTCTCTAACAAATATGATTATTCAGGAGACAAGACCACTTTTTTTGGTTTAGCATGATAGTTCTAATTGAGGGATGAACTTTTTATAAACTATAGATGGACACTTTATGAACTTTTTATAAACTTTAAAAATAAAAAAAACACTTTTAGTACAACTTGGGTTTAACAAGAAATCAATAAGAGGATTTCGATATACACAATGGGGATAGGAATTATAGGCCAACATCACATTCACTAGGCAATGTAACTATTTTATTTGGTTTTTTTTAAAAGATAACAAGCGTCACGAAGCTATACTCCCTTTTTAAAAATTAAAATGATATAACATGATGATTTGAGTGTATATATAGCCATAGTAAATATTTTATATAAAAACATATATGAGTTCAATCATTATGGCTAGTGACTGAGATAGGATTTCAAGTCAGGAGGGGCACTATATGTATGTAAACATTACAAATATAAACTATAAAAGAAGAAGAAAAAAAAAATTCAAATATGCACGTTAAAAAGATGAATTTTAAGAAGTAGAAATTGAAAAAGGAAAGAAAAATAAGAGAATTTTAAAAAGAAAAAGTTAAGAGTTTCTTTTTCTTTTAAGGTAAATTTAACTTTTTCTTTTAAGAAAATTTAAGAAATTTGAAGAGTAAAAAAAAAAATAAAGGGATAATTTTAAAAAACACAAAATTTGGAGGGGCACTGTATAAGCAGGCCAGGAGGGGCACTGTATACCATTTTTTATATATATAGAAAAAATATAAAAAAATTACTACATATATTATAGAGGACCGGCCCTTCATTGGCTCCGTCCCTGATTATGGCCAATACAAGGACGGTATTGGATAACCACAATGTGCATGAAATAAGCAAAAGAAAACGTGCATAAGATAACAATAGACCCAAGTGCCCAAGAGAATAAGCAAATGTATGCAAATAAGATATTCATATATTGTGCATCAGAGAATATGAATAAATAACATAAAATAATGACCAGGATATATTCATGTAATATAAAAAAAATAATGCATAAGAGCGACAATTTTAAAAAAAATATTATGAAGAAAGGTACCTTTTGATTGGTGCACAACTTGCTTTTCGTCTTTTGATTCTCTGAGATTGCTGAGCGGAGCCGTCACCACACTGGAGGGCCTTTAGGAACAAGGAGGGGTTTTGCAAATAAAGGGAGTATTTCTACGTATCTCTATGCCTTTTTTCCTTGTCCCTGTTTTCTTCCCCCCTTCTTGTGAAAGAGAGGGACCTATTTATATTGTTCTAGTACGTGGCCAATCAAGAATGTGAATTTCTAGAGATACGATCTATCGCTAACAGAAATGAAAAAGCTCAATTGAAATTTAACTTGTTTCTATATATCTGAGATTTATCTTGTTTCTATATATCTTATTAGAAGATAATACTTAGCTATTATAACAGAATAATATATAACATAATGTAATAATATTGCGAGATATGATCTATCACTAACAGAAATGAAAGAATGAATTGAAATTTAACTTGTTCTTGTATATCTGAGATTTATCTTGTTTCTATATATCTTATTAGAAGGTAATACTTAGCTATTATAACAGAATAATATATAACATAAAATGTAATAATATTGCATCATGTACCAGGTGTTATTTAGTTTAAAATTTTATTATTGCCATATATATATATATATATATACTTTGGTTCGTTATATTTTATTTATTTACTATTGTCATCATATTTATTTTATTATCATTGTTACTATACAGTGGCGTTCAACTGGTCTCTGGAGAACATAAAATAGTATACTCACTTTTAATCTTGACCTTAGAATATAATCATACGGTAATTAATTAATCAGTGTTTGTTTTTTTATATTTAAGGCAATTATATTATTAATAGGAAATGACAAAACTATACAAGTTTTTAATGGAAACAAATTAAAACAAAATTGGTAAAACTTTTCTTTTATATCTTTTATACGAATTCCTTCCCATCCGAATTCTCAAACCATACCAATTAATAAAAAAAATTAATTATTTCTAATCTCTTCAACGATAAAAGGATCATTCCCTTCATTTCTATCAGTACCAGTTGAAAAATTCGCATAGATTCTGGCATAGGCATTAGCGTGGCACATCTCTTCTTTGCAACTCTTGTTGATTGCATCATCCTGTAATACTTCCTTCGGTCAATTTATTAAAAGGTATCTCTCTAAAATCTCTTGTTGATTGTTTCATATTTTCCATAACTTGTATCATTGTTAGGTATTTGTTACAGATTGTGTGATCAAAATTTATTATTATTATTATTTTATTTTGGTTGATTGATAAAGGATACTTAGTAATTAGAATACCATGGTACTTCCATCTTTTGGATAAATCATGGTTTTGACCTCAAATAAAATCTTTGAGTATTAAAGTTGGATTCAAATTGCATGGTTCAAAGTGTTAATTCCGTGAGAGCATGCCAAAAGGTGTATAAATATCATTTCAATACCGTTTCTAAGTTTTTCCAGTGTCCTTTATTTACAAAATTTTAATAAAGAGCTACGTTTTTTTTTTTTTTTTTTTCGATAATTAATAAAGAACTTTATTTAAATTTTTTTAGAAGTTATAGTCAAATTTTATTTGTAACGTTTATTTTTATTCAGGTATGGATGGTATAAAATTGTGGGAAAATGAAAATGAGAAAATATATATTCCTCAAGTTGCTTATGAGAAAAAACCAAAAGAAGGCTAGGAGTTCAAGTATTTAGATGAGATTTACGATTTTTATAACAAGGACGCACGTGAAGGGGGTTTTAGTGTGCGGATTGATAAGAATAAAAAGAATAAGGATAGCGGTGAAATATATTGGAGACAATATGTCTGTTATAAAGAAGGAGAAATAGATGAGACAACCTACAAAAGAAAAAAAGAAAAAGAAAAAGAAAAAGAAAAAGAAATTAATGATAATGTTGAAATCGGGTCAAAGAAATTAGAAAGGTGTCGAGGAAAAGTACGTGAAGGGTGCAAAGCAAGATTGATTGTAGTTTAACGTGGAGAAAATTATATAGTCAGTCAATTTGATGAAGGCCATAGCCATCCGCCTGCAACCCCCAGCAAAGTACACCTTTTGAGGTCACATTGCAAGGTTTCAAATGCAAAAAAAGCACTGGCTCAACAATTTGGAATTATAAATATGCCTACATATCAACAGTTTGATATTTTAGAAACACAAGCTGGTGGAATTCAAAATGTTGGTTGTACTGAAAGAGATCTCAGAAACTACAAGCGAGATATGAGAGAAAAATTCAAAGGTCATGATGCCGATATGTTGTATGAGTACTTTCAAATAGAGAAAGAAAAAAATCCTGCTTTCTTTTTCGAATTTAACTCGGATGAAAATGGTCAGATGACTAGGTGCTTTTGGGTTGACGCCACTGCAAGAAAAACATATAATTGTTTTGGTGATGTAGTTGTATTTGATACAACATATAATACAAATCGTTATAGTATGGTTTTTGCTCCACTATTAGGCGTGAACCACCATGGGAAAACAACAATTTTTGGATGCGGTTTCTTAAGTGGTGAGAGAGTTGATTCATTCATTTGGCTATTTGAGACTTGGCTAAAGGCAGTGCCAAAATGTGCACCGAACATTATTATCACTGATCAAGATCCAACAATGGAAAAGGCTATAGCTCAAGCGCTTCCACACACCTTCCACAAGTACTGCATTTGGCACATCATGAAAAAATTTCTTGAAAAGACTCAATGATTTTTCGAGATCACTATGATCTTTTCAAATCATCTATATGGAATTCAGAGACTGTAGAAGAATTTGAAAGAACTTGGAATGATGCATTGGAAGCAAGTAAGCAACTTGATAATCATTGGCTAAAAAAATGTTCGCACTACGTGATAGATGGGTTCCTGTATTTGTTAATAAATATTTTTCTGCCGGAATGTCAAGCAGTCAAAGAGCGGAAAGTTCACATGCATTCTTCAAAAAATATTGCGATAAAAATAATTCATTAATGGATTTTATTATAAGATTCAACAGGGCAATTAGTCATTTGAGGCATGAAGAGGTGACTGACAACCATGTTGATGTCAATGAACAGCCAAAGTTAAGATCTGCGATGCCTATGGAGATGCAAATTATGGATTTGTATACAAAACAATACTTTCATAAGTTCCAAGTCGAGCTTTACGAAAGTAGTGCTTATGTAATAAATTTTATATCAGAGGATGAAAATCAAAGTTTTTATGAGGTTACCAAAGTGTGCAAAGGGAAATTTAAAGTGCGAAGACTTTTACATGATAAAGGCACTGATGTGGTCAACTGCAATTGTCGAAAATTTGAATTTGAAGGCATCTCATGTAGGCACATTCTTGCATTTTTCAAAATAAAACAAATCATGTTTTTGCCAAAATATTATATCATGAAAAGATGGATGAAGTTTGCAAGAGTTGAAAGCATTGTAGTTCAAGATGGTATGGAGATTAAAGATGCGCCGGATAAGTCTATTTTGATAAGGCGCACTAAATTATCTCAACTTGTAGCTACCGTCATTGATGAAATTGCAGTCATGGAAGAATGGAGTGAAGTATTAACAAGGGCATTGGAAACAGTTCTTAAACAAGTTAGAGGCATTAAAGCAATTAAAGTTGAAGAGAATAATAGTTATGTGCAAGAGAAGCAATTTGACATTCCTCAACAACGAAATTTTAATGATCCCCTTCAAGTTAGGGCAAAAGGGTGTGGTAAACGTTTGAAGTCATGGCAAGAAAAAGGAAAGACAAAAGCTAGGCGTTGTAATGGTTGTGGCAAACTCGGACAAACCCATGATAAAAGAAATTGTCCAATACTTAATAATAGGCAAAGTAGTTTCTTACATACTGTTTTTTTCCTTTAATTTTATTAAAATAGTTGCAACATTTATTCTTTTCTCTTAAACAGGTCAACTGCAAATATTGATGATGATATTTCAAATGAGTTAGAAAATGTCGATAGTGGATGTGAATGAATCATTTTCAAGGTATATCTTTATTTATTTATTTATTTTTGCTTTATTTAAAGTTTTTTTTTGAGTTTACTTAGTTAAAATCATAATTCTATTTTTTGTAGGTGTTTGTTGGAGATACAGTAAAGAAGAAAAACCTTGTACTAACTCTGCTAGGTTGTTTGGGTTGTTTATTAAGTTAACATTATCGTGAATTCAATGTAGAATTTTTATTGGAAGGATTCAATCATGTTTTAAAATTATTTCATTTCATTGTGTACCTCTACCGTTTTGTTTGGACCTGTACATCACTCAGTTGAGCATAATTTACAATGTTAAATATTAGTCACTTGGTGTAACATTAAACTTCTATTTCCCTAATGAAGATTATTCAATTCTAGTATACATATTTTAATTTGAAATAATTTCTTTACAGGTGGGTACAAAATTTGAAACTCTGAATTGAATGTGGTTTTGAGTTAAATATTCTAAGTAAAATAATTATTGAATTTAAGTTTTTTTAATATTTTTTTTTGAACTGTTGATCTCAAATTTGGATTCACTAATATAGTGAATGAGGTAATTTTTTTGTTTTGATCAGTAGTGAATGAGGTGAATTTATCCTCCAGGTAGTTAGAAAGACCGGCAAAAATGGTCCTTTGAACATTGTTTTACTCTAATCTGCTTTTCAAAATCTATTTAACATGAAAAAAAAATTAATTCTCTTAGTCTCTTCAAGTAGCTAGAGAGATGAAAGAATAACAAATAGAAATCAACATGAATAGCAAACTTGTGTATAGCAAGCTAATTAAGAAATTCTCAAAAAAAATAAAAAATAAATAAATAAATAAATAGATTCTTCCCGTCCATTCAGCAAGGGAATTCTCAAAGCATACCAATTAAAAAAAAAAAAAAATTAATTGTTATGCTTTGAGAATTCCTTGACTGAATAGATAGGAACGAAGGGAATGAACCTTCTATTGTCGAAGGGATTGGAAATTTCAATTTTTTAATTTGCCTTCTATGTTTCAACCTTCTATCGTTGAAGAGATTAGAAATAATTAATTTTTTATTTTTAATTTTTAATTTTTATTTTTAATTGGTATGGTTTGAGAATTCGGATGGGAAGGAATTCCTATAAAAGATATAAAATAGAAGTTTTACCAATTTTGTTTTAATTTGTTTCCATTAAAAACTTGTATAGTTTTGTCATTTCTTATTAATAATACAGAATGGTAATAAAAAAAAAAAAAGCAATTGCCTTAAATATAAAAAACAAACATTGATTAATTAATTACCGTATGATTAGATTCTAAGGTTAAGATTAAAAGTGAGTATACTACTCTATGCTCTCCAGGGAGCAATAGAACGCCACTGTGTTACTATATATATATATATATATATATATATATATATATAATGAACAAAACGATTTGCAAATAACCAGCATGTCCATGCAGCCTTGGTCACACCTTTTGGGCAAACCAAATTTACACCTATCTAATGAACCCAATATAGCTTGGATTGAATTAGACAAAAGGTTGAAACCAATGAAGCACGGACACCCGTTGTAGGGCTGACGTACCAGTGTCGGACACGGGTGTCCTAGCCTCGAACACGTGTCCGACACGGATCTACCAGTGTCCTATTTTTTTATTCATTTTTTCACACCGGACACGCCATAAGACACGGCCGAGACATGTCGGAGGACACGGCTGTACATCGAAGGACACCGATGTAGGAAACGGTAGTTCAGATTAATAAAAAAAAAATGGAAGGGATGAGAGAGAAATTGGAAGGGAGAGGGAAAATCAACAAAAAGATGATGATGAACTGATCATGCTCTGGTTGGTTATTGATGGAGGAAAATGAAGATAGAAAGTTAAGAGAAGGAGGAGATGGCGTCTGGCAAAGATTCCAATTCTGCTAGAGTCTCTCTCGTCTCGGTGCGAACAGATCTAACCAAAGGCTTGATCGCCTTTTTCTTCCTCTGTTACTGAGTGGTTATTGGTTAATAAAAAAGGAATACAATTTTGAAGAGAGAGAGAGAGAGTCAATTTCGAACAGATCTAATAAAAGGCTTGATCGCCTTTTTCTTCCTCTGTCAGTGAGTGGTTATTGGTAAATAAAATAGAAAGATAAGATTGTAATCTTATCTTTCTGTGTTTGGTTACAAAGTTAACCTTATCTTTTGTGTTTGGTTATAAAGTTAAAACTATTCTAGTATTGATACAAATTCTAGTATTGGATATAAAGATATACTATGTATTTATTGTTTGAATTTTAATAGAATTTGAATTGGACTTAATTTAAATGGATCATGTCTATTAATGTAAATTAAAAATTAAGAGAAATTAAAATTTTATATATAATAAAAATATATATTATTATTTTATTACCGTATCTTTGCCGTATCCGTGTTCTATTTTTTTAAAATTTACCGTATCGCCGTATCCGTATCGTATCGTACCCGTATCTCGTGTCGGTGTCCGTGCTTCATAGGTTGAAACATATGCCCATTTTAATAACTGGCGTTGGCGAAAAATGGAAATTAGTAGAAGGCCTGGGCATTATTTTCCTTATTTTTATTTTATCTTATTATATAATATATAAAATGCAAAGATCATTTGTAAAGCTTTGCAACTCCTTTAGTTGTGTGCCAGAATATTAACCAACAACAACAATATTATTACTCTATTTTATTATTATTATTATTATTATTTATTTTTATTATACTATTATTTTATTTTTTATTTATTAATTCACATAAACCCACTCCTGAGAAAATGATGGAGTCCATTTATTAATCCAATTATATCATTTTTCTTAAGTTTTAAACAGATTTGAACGAGTTTAGGTTGCAAAATTATGAATTCGCCCATTTTCTTAATTGAGCCCTACGAGTTCGATTACGAACAAAACTCTAGGTGCACCCCAAGGTTTTTGGGATTTTTTCGGACTCAATATTGATATGTATTTTATAATCTAGCTAATCAACTTTTCTTATTATTTTTCAAATTTGGCTAAACTAGTAAATATATTAAAAAGAATAAGATTACGATCCTTAGTAGGTTTTTTTGGTAATAAATTTTAGTAGGTTTTTGTAATAAATTTTATAGGGAAAATGGGGTGTCTACACCATAAAGTTGCGGCAACCAAATCATAGAAACTCATATCTACAGAACTGGCGAAAATACAGAGCTTCAAACTAACCCAACAAAGATCCATTTTGACTGGAGTTGCATTAAAGACGGCCGATTCCTCCATTAATTCCAGCGAAACCTATACCAAATTATGGTGTGTATATCGCTTCTTATCCACTCCCATTCCTTTGTTCTTCAACGCCTTTTGCTCCACCTCGTCTCGGTCTCTTATGAAATTAGCCAATTTCGAGCAATGATGTTGAAATTCAAAAAATTAAAATTCAAGTTTCATTTTAGGGGTTGGGTGTGTACTATATAACTCATTGGATTCTGGTCTTCAATGACGTTCCAGTGATTGATCTGGACTAAAATTCACCGGTCGGTTGGTCATTGTTCTAAACCTTTCTCGATTTGGGTCTCTAAAATTATGGGTCACTGCTAATGGGGTTTTAGAGAGAGAGTATTAGGGAAATTGTTTAGTTTGAATTTCTTGTGATGGGTTTGGTCTAGAATAAAATGGGATTAATTTTAAATGATATAAGAAAACTGTAATGACTTTGTCATTTTCCTTCCTTTCATTTTTCTCAAATTTTACGGATAAATTTTTTTTGTTGAATTTTCTTTTCAGAGTTCGGTTACTCATCACTTAGTGTCGTCTCGAGTGCTCAGAAATGGTTTCCGAGACTCTTTCCTTTGGATTGACAACTTCCTTTAAAGATTGAGTCATTTCCACATTTTCATTTTTTTGGACACTATTCACTTTCGTCCTTTTTCCGTTTGTCATTTTGTTGTCACAACCTCACTTTCCGTGTTCGGAGTTGAGTTTTGACTTCACAAGTTTTCATTTTAGTTGATTTTCTCAAAACGCGTAACTTTACTTTTGGAGAAAAGCTCACCGGTTGTTTCTTTCTCCCGTAGGGGTGTGGATGAAAGGATTCTTCAAAAATATTGATGTTTCTTGGGGTGTTTTTCATAAATATCTTTTAGAGATATTTTGATTAGTGGTTTTTAAGAAAATATCTTTTGGAAGATATTTTCATTTTGGGCAGTTTTGCAGTTATCCCTTTTTGTAGGGGCCATTGTGCAATTAACGAAAATTATTGTAAAATGTATCGTTTTGAGCCTGGATCGTCGTACGGGATTCATTTTCACTTTTCATCGAGTCGAGTACTCTTAGAATTTCCTCACGGTCGTTTTTCCTAGTTTTAGGGTTTTAGGCCTCGGTTGCCGCCGAACTTATTCGGGGCATATATTTTGCACGGGACCGGTTTTTGACACTGTTTCTTCCATTGTTCATCTTTTTTATTTTTTATTTTTTATTTCGATTCTTTTTCGTTCACAGTGTTTTATTGTTTGAGCACGCTTGCGCAAATTTCACTTTTCTGGACTCCAGCGGGGCCCTTTCAAGGCACTTTTAGGGTTTTACTATAAATAGGGGGTTATAAAATTAAAAACATTTCATCCTCTTCTTCTCACACTGTTGCAGATCAGCCATGGTAGTTCAAGGGGGCTGCCACCCTTCTTCTCTCAAATTAACCTTCTTTCCCTTTGTAAAATGCCGTAGTGCCTTAGCGTTTGTCGTAGGCCTTGGCAAGGCGGTCTTTTCCCCCTTATTAGAAGCCGATTTCGACCATTTTTGAGTTCGGGTTTGGATTTTCATGGTGCCACAAGGGTTAAAGTTACTTTCCTTGTAATCCCCGTCATAACCTAGAAGTATCGTTGGATTTAGAGCGATTTCCTTCCGGTGGAAATTTGAGATTTCATCTCAAAGTAAGATAGGGGATGCTTTAGGTTTAAATAAATGTTGTATTGATTATTTTATAAGCTTATACAACTTGTATGCATGCCTAGGTGTTTTATCTAAAATTTAATTTAATTATT